TATCATTACTCCTTTAAGAGTGAACTCCCTTATGCCTGCTTCAGTGAGTACTTCTTTCCCCAAGAGTCAAATATAGTGAGGCAATTTTATCTGTTCATCTCTAATTTGGACCTTGTGTGTGGGATTTCCCTCAAGGTCCTCTACATGATATTTCAAATAAGAATTCACAACAATTTCTTAGGAGCTGTGGACAAATATGTATATCTTGTTAGATTCTGAACGGATAACTCTTCTTGCCCTTTACCATAGAACTTTGAGTTCTTTGGAGACACCACCTGTTTCACTGTATTTTGTTTCTTCTGGAGAGAAATGGAAGAACCTTCCCACACCTTGTAGTCGAAGGTATCTGTGTTGATCATCTAAGAGGCCATGTCAGGGCAGGAGTTAAATTTACATTAGGTATTGTGGTTGCATGCTTTTTAAAATTTATATATTTTTTTGAAATTATATGTTGTCCAGCGTGTGCTACATAACCCTGGACTGTACCTATCCTTACATCATAGTATGGCAAACAACTCCATTAAAGTAATTTATTTTGAACTGAGTGTCCATATTTTGAAATGATGGGAAAAATAAAATTTCTTTCAATCTGGGTTGGCAGGTAATTTCTGACAGGTAAAAAGCATATTTCCCTTTGCTTTTCTTCAAATCCCACTAGGTCTTTTTGATTTTTCCCAAAATCTCCTAATTTTTATATCTCTGCTGCCACAAACTATGGTATAATTATCTATTACTTTGTAGTTCACATGGACATGTCTAAGACTAAATATCATGAAAGTGAAAGATGATGGTATTAGGAATGTACTGGACATGTTAGAAATATGACAAAGATAAACTAGTTAAAATCTTTGGCATAAAATTTGTGTTAGGAATCATAAAAACAGGATAATGTAATTTTCTTTTTCCAGACAGACAAAAATAATTCTTTGGAAGATTGAAAATCTGCCTTGAAAAGCCAAGAATGTCCTGGTGTTCTAAGGATTTAAACAAGATGATTTGGTGTACGTTGAAAAATACCCAATGTGCAAATTTGGAAGTTAGATTTTATTCACATTTCACGAATATTTCTTCAGGAAAATGAGGGAAGAAAAAAGTGTTGAGTAGAAAAATAATTTTCTTAAAGGAAGTAGAAGTTGGTGTGATCTCACAGCCATTGTGGCTTGCTCAAAAGATATTAATTTGTTTTCTATGTAGACAATATCATTTACCACTATTAGCCCATTTTAGTGTGTTCAGTTTGAGTTAAAATGCATATAATGAGTATTTCCAAACCAGGTTTTTATTATGGAAGAGACACAGTGACTTCTTCTTTCACATTTCCATCTCCCTTTTCATGCCCAGAAAAAGAGAAAGAGAAGAAAGACGAGGAAGATGATGATGAGGAGGAGCATGAACAGGGATAATCAGAGCAGTGTGTCTGAGTTCATCCTCTTGGGGCTCCCCATCCGACTAGAAGAACAAGGCATGTACTATGCCCTCTTCCTGCTCATGTACCTGACCACAGTGCTGGGGAACCTGCTCATCATCCTGCTCATCAGGCTGGACTCCCGCCTCCACACCCCCATGTACTTCTTCCTCAGCCACCTGGCTCTCACTGACATCTCTTTCTCATCAGTCACAGCTCCAAAGATGCTCATGAATATGCTGACAAAGAGTCAATCCATCTCTTATGCTGGGTGCATTTCCCAGGTATATTTTTTTGTGTTGTTTGCAGATATTGACAGCTTCCTTCTCACCTCCATGGCATATGACAGGTATGTGGCCATCTGTCACCCCCTATACTACACCACCATCATGAGCCAGAGACGCTGTTTCCTGCTAGTAATCGTGTCCTGGGGGTTATCCATCGCCAATGCCCTTGTGCATACCATTCTATTATCCTTTCTCTCTTTTGCCAGAGACAACACTCTCCATCACTTTTTCTGTGACCTCTCTGCCTTACTCAAACTGTCCAGTTCAGACACCACAGTCAATGAGATGGTCATCCTCATTCTAGGAACAGTGGTCATAGTCCTGCCATTTATATGTATTCTGGTGTCTTATGGTCAAATTGGAGCCACCATACTGAAGGCTCCCTCAATCAAGGGAATCTGCAAGGCCTTGTCTACATGTGGCTCTCACCTCTGCGTGGTTTCTCTCTACTATGGAGGAATTATTGGAATTTATTTTTTCCCCTCGTCCAATAACACTAATGACAAAAATGTCATTGTGACTGTGCTGTACAGTGTGGTCACACCCATGGTAAATCCCTTTATCTACAGTCTGAGGAATCGGGATATGAAAGGAGCTCTGAGAAATCTGCTCAGTAGAGGAATATTTCCAGTGTGATGTGCATTGCTTTCGTCTGAATTGAATATGACTTTGACAACCCCGCAAGTACATCCTTTCCTCTCTGAATTGCTGTTTCTTAGTGTCTTTTTTTCTTCTTCTTCTTTGTATTTTTTTCCGGTACCAGGAATCAAACTCACGACCTCACGCTTGCCAGGCAGGCACTGTGCCGCTGAGCTAAATCCCCAACCCCCTCTTAGTGGCTCTTGATGTATTGATGCAGTACACTATTTTCAGCCCTGGATGTAACTTTTGTCTCTGTGTAATTGTCTTTTTGACCTTGTCTTGCAAATACATTTTATAAACATTCCTGCACATTTCCATTTTTACATAGTGTCTTTATCCTATGAATATGTTGAAATTCTGTAGTCACCACTATTAGACTTTTCATTAAATACTTTCCAGCCTTCATTTTAATAAACCTTTCTTTTCCTTTCTCAGTATGATAAAAAGAATTCTGTGTGAGGTTCATGGATTTATTTTTAATATTGTAATACACTTCAAATTTAGAAGTTCTGTATTTCTTCTATTGTTTGGGTGTTGTTTTGTTTATGTCTGTTTGTTAATGTGTTTCATTCTTGTATCTTTAAAATAAAAAATAAAACAAATTTATTTTTGTTAATAACTTTTGTTGGAAATATGGTCATTCTTTTTAAACTTTCCTTTCTGTTATTTTTAATTATCATATAATATCAGTACATATTTATTGGCTCCTATATGATATTTCCATATATGTATATATATATATATATATATATATATATATATATATATAGTATATAATGTTCAAGTGGAAGACTGCACATCTATTTACTCAAACTTTTATTTTTTCTTTGCAAAAGAAATTCAGAAACATTTCCCAGCCTTTAAAAAATGTATAGTATTTTATCATTATCTGTAGTCACCCTCAGTTGCAATAAAGCACCAGAATTTATTTTTCCAAACTCTAACTTAGGACCCATTGACCAACATTTCCCCATCCCTTCTCTCTTCCTCTCTCCAGTAGTTTTAAAATTTCTATACATTTCCCAAACATTTTTCCATTGTGTTAGCATGAATGCAGGTAGGCACACAACTTCTTTTTTTATGTTCCTGCAGTAACTAGACCTGGTCATAAACTGTAATGACATGCCTTTCTGGAAAAGACAAGTCCAGAGGTGAGATACACGTCATAAAAAATAAACAGGAACTTAACTGGAGCCTTCTAGGTCCTTGAAAGTCAACTAAGTATTATACATAACTGTGAGTGTTGAAATTTTTAGTGACCATACATACAGTTGGTGCAAAGATTACAGGCTATCAGTTTGTTCTGATAAGGGGGTTGAGCTTCTCTAGGTGAATACTGAACAGGCAAGACATCAGGCAAACTGAACTGAGTTCTAGCAGGATTTCAGCAGAGCTAATGCAACTATATTTATTTTGAAATGGACAACAGATACATCCCTGATTCCCTACATAAATGTGATAAGATATGTTTCCATCTCAAGTAGCACAGTGTTTTTCTTTAATCCTTGAGAAATTGCTTGTGTTCAAGGAAAGGTATTTAA